CGAATTGCGAAACGGTTCGTTGCCGACTTTCGGCGAGGCTTAGTTTATTAAAATCTACTGTCATATTGACGTACTCAACGACTATTTCGCACGATTTAGTTTCATCGCGTAATATCCTATTAACCACTCGAATATAGAGGGAAGCCAAACGTTCCTTTGATGAATCAGATGTTTCCTTTGATTCATAGATCCCGCGTTGAACGACCGCGATCCAGGGAAAGAGAGAAAGAGAGAGATTAGGGCTGGGGCTAGCTGAGAAGGGATACCGTTGGCGCGGTGAGATATTGAAACGTGAAAGATGGCGGCCAATAAATTTCGGCTGGTCGAGCGAGTCGCTTAAATAGCGTGTGCCGGATCAGAATGCAGATTATAAGATTAACTCTAATCTTGAAATAATACACAGGCGTCGGAACGAGGAAGTCGGCGGGAGCGGTTTGTAACGGTGCTTTTATCAAAACACACCGGCGGAAAATACATTTTTAGCGTGTCAGCCGATCGGGAACGTTTCCTCGTTAACATCTAAATTTCCAGTGTTCGGCCACCCGATATGCGCGGCGGGATTACGCGAGCGTATTTACGTCCGGAAAGAATGGAGGCGGCCGATACGTAATCGCGACGAAAACCGTCCCCGGTATTTATCGTGTCGTATATTTATTATTTTAGGAACTCGATTCCAGAATCCAGCGGCGATCGAGAAATAAAAGAAACGAAAGAAGAACCGTGCGTTTTCATCGGTGATTTCAGTGTTACCGGGAGTTTTTTTCAGCGCTCGTGTACATATTTCTATCGGTACTGGAGAGCACTCTGAACGGCTCTGCTTGAAATTCCAAGAGAGCAACCGTGTGTTCGATTTGGGAACCTGATGAGGAAATAAAACGAAAATCAATTCGCTTAGGTTGGCACTATATTAAATTTACTTTTTGGAGGACAGTTAACAGAATACAAACTGAATTGCAAAATTCGTTACAACAATATCCTCTCATGAATTCCGTAGTATATTTAATAGACTGCTAATTAGACAAATACTCTCAACAGAACGATCATCATCAAGAACTACAGAACTTAACACGTTGAACGCCGCACGATTTCATAAACGGAAATACACAGGAAAAATATAGTATTAACCCTTTGAACTCCGTAGGCGCCAATATTGCACCAGTTGTAATATTGAATATTTTTATGAATCGAAGGAACTACACTAAAATTATTAGATTTTCCATATATCCAAATTTTATACTAAGAAGGAAAATAAGAGATCGAAGGAATGTTATAGCATTTTTTATTTTCAGTAGAGATGCTATGATAATTAGTTGCAGTTGCTGATAAATTACAAAACCATCTGAAGTGCTAAGGGTTAAATCATTTCATCGAATTGCATTACTATTCGACGTTCATCTAACCGCATGTCACCGTATTAGATAACATTATTTATAATATAGAAATGTTTTCATACAATCATCGTTTAATCTAGTGAACTACAGTACTTCAACGTGTTAAAACTCTACGCAACTATCCAAACTTATCAACTGACAAATTCTCTCGAACAAACGCAATATTCGACACGTTGTATCCTATTCGTCCATTCGACATTGGATCATCCCGTCACAAACGAACTTCGAAGCAAAGCTAGAGGTAGCTAACGTCGAGTTCCACAACGACGTTACACGTATCGACAAGGTTGCGTGGGACGGTGCCTGTCCGTTTCGTTGTACAAACGTTTATTTACGTCGTGTTATGCCGCTGGCATTCTTCGGTTACGTGCATTACACGATAAATCGCGAGGAGCCCGTGTTTCCGAGCTCAGATGCTGTTTGCCGAGGAGGCATCGCCGATAACGGGGCACCGCGCTCGCTTTTCCTCTCCTGGGACCGGGCCTGGCAAACAAACCACTCGGCCACCCTCTTCAGCGGCCCGGCTTATCCGGGTATGGCCATCCGCAGCTCTTTACACGTGTTCCCCGGTTAGCCGACCAAATAGGTAACCGATCTGTTTGCCCGTCGCAGATTAAGAAACTATTGCGGCTTGCTTTATTTAAATCCGAATTAGTTGTTTCTCGACGCTTCACCGTTCTTGGGACTATCCTAGGAGATTCTTGAACTGTATTGGATCGAGTTGATTCTCGCTTGAGTAACGAATAAATTGAGTGATCAACTCTATCAACTCTAGGGACGAACGTAGACATCTTCGCGAGATGAGATGTTCATATGTACACTAAATCGCATGATTTAATTACTAGGACAGCAGATCAGTATGTTTCCCTGTTTCAATTGTCTAAGCAATCGATATAATTTAGCTGCACGTTTTCTATATTTTAAAGAATCTCTACAAGGGTTAAGTATTTTAAGTGGATAGCTTCTCAACGTGATTATAATAAATTAAGCAAATATTCAACTTTCCATTTGTTATCAGGTATTATCAACAGATCTATATAAATATTCTATGACGCCAAGATCCTAAACACAATAGACTACCAATCCACCCGGCTCTAACATTCGAACAATCCACAGGAATCAAATCAATGATAAAAACACTTCTATTCGTAAACCCGATGTTCCATCAATAACGCAACCAGGAAAACAAAGTCACCCACAAAGAACGATCCATTAATCACTAATCCCAACACAATGACTAAAACAACGTGCCCACTTGATATACACACATCGGCAGCCCAACGAACATCATTATCTCGTCGTAAACATACCGCCGCGTCTTCGACGATCACCCATCCCCGTAGCACCCTTGTAACGCTCTCTTTTCGTCACGAGCAATTATTTATCCGGTCGTTGGAGTATTCCGTCGGAGAATCGGAAAAAAGAGAAGGGAAAAAAAGGAGACGAAGAAGCGTGAAAGTAGTCGAGAATAGGGCTCGGTCGAGCTGTCGGTGGCAGGCGCACACGGTAGAGAGAAGTTAATCGGCCCAGTCGTTTAGTTTCGCTCCGTTTAGTTATATTTGGTTTCCACGGGGGCGGCAAAGAGGGAGGGAGACGCGGTGGTTCACAATTAGTCGGCGCGTAACTCGGTCTGATTTAGTGGCGTGCTGCCTGCCTGCCAGCCTCGCTAGCTGCGAGCGACGGGGATGCGCGTGTCACTCTTCCAGGATATTGCCGGCCGTGTTACGACCCGAAACCGCCGGCTCGTTCCGAGACTTTACACGCACGGGGAGCGCGCGGTAAACACCGAAACCGCGATCGCTATCTACCCGCGTGACGAATGGACCGCGGATTCTCGCGAATTCGACCCGACGAAATGTCTTGCCGCGTTTTTGCAGCTTTTTATGGGAGCACTTTCGTTTGCTCGCGATTTTCAGATGTTGCATGTTTGAACGGTTTATTGGGCTTCGATCGTTAAGCGTTGCGGATCTCTCGATTCTTTTGTAGTACAGTCAAACATGTTTTTGTGCGGTACATAGGGACCGCATAAAAGAAACAAAAAATGTTCAGAAATTTACGAAGTAGTGAGGAAGTAATTTCAAACAGAATAATTAAATTATACGTGGCATCATTTTAACGATTTGCGGACGAATGTCGACACTCCGGCGAGATGAAATTTTCATATTTCGAAGACTAAATCATAAAGAAATGCTGTAATTACTCGAATAGCAAGAGATTAGCACGCAGTTTCCTTTTGTTCTGTCAGTTATACAATTGATATATAATATAGCTTCATTTGTTGAAGGTTTGGTACAGTTCAAAGAATCTTCGTTCGCAAAGGGTTAAAAATTTTAGTTTCTCCTACATGGAGAAATTTTCACGATGCACAGAATTCACTGCTACTCGTCGTAGTCCAAAACGCGCATCTTCTTGTGGTGAACTGGTTCAAAGTCGTTTTCGTCACTTGAAAAACAACACCGTTGGAATTCATAAACCGCATAAAAAAAAAATCGTACAAAATAAATCGCACGAAAAAGAAATCGTATAGAAAAGGACCGCACAAAAACAGGTCTAGATGTATAGAGAGAGAGAAGTATAGGGTAAAGGAAAATTTCAAATGAATTAGATGAATCTACATGTTATTTATTTCTCTTGTGAATTTTTGGATGTTAGAAGTCTAAACTTTGGAGTAAATGTAGATACAGACTAGATATGAAATATTTTTCTTTTTGTATTAAATTGTTAAGGATGATATAGTATTATCGAGCGTAGTTGGAAATCATAGGGCGGGGAGTTAATGATTTTCTATTTATGCTACCACTTTGAGTAGTGGGATCTAATTCATTGTTTCTTTTTGTGGGAAGAGGTGTTGTTTGAGGAATATTATGAAGCTGAATTTTTATAAGATATTGATTGATAAGTAGATCGTGAAATATTGCGTTGAATTTGAATCGTTTCGCAAATCGTGAATCTATGCGTTGTCTTACCGATATTCGTCATCGAATTTATTCGCAGGGCGATGTAAACTTTATTTTCGAGTAGAACGAGAAAACACGCTGTATAACACGATTTTTGTATTATTGTTATTTCGATACTGGTGAATATATAGTCGGTGGGATACGTGTTCATACACTGATTTTACGTTGAAACGAAAATATTGTTTTCGGTAGGGCATTCTGTTTGAAAAGTATTTTGGTCGGAATGTTCATCTACTCCCACGCGATCCATGAACTTTTGAAATCTCCTTGCGAATTTCGTGTTGCAAACTCATCGTAAACGAAAAATTTAACACGGTTTCTTTTCTCTGTTCCATGGAGACTTTCGTACACTAACAAACGTGTGATATTCCACGATCTAATTCGACTACATCAAAATCAAATATTATCAGAGCAGACGTGTTTATTTAGTCTCAATCAAATTTAAATTCAAGAAGAAATCTACATCGAAATTCAAATCCAAATTCAAATCTAAATTCAAATTCAAATCAGAATCCAAATCTGAATTCAAATTCATACAGAAATTTAAATGTAGGCAGTTAATAACGAAGACATACTAAGAAATTACGTGCGAATTAAATATGATAATGAAGAAGTTAGATTACGTTGCAAGAAGGTATAATGCGTTTTGCAGTGTGGGCACAGGGCGAATTCCGAGACGAGATGAACGAGGGTTTGGCGACGCTCGATTTGACGGGTCACGGATCCCACACCCCCGGTGGCAGCAACCCCAGTAAACCGGGCGCGACGCCCAACGCACCCTCCGGTGGATTTTCCACCGCGCCACCCAGGTCCCAAACTAACAGGACACACAGGCCGGACATCCGAAAAGGTAGATCTAGCCACTATACCAAACTTTTCTAACGCATCCTTTCACCCTTTATTTTTCTCCCCAAACAGAAACTTTTCACATTTGACTTTGCGTTTCGCCTAGTGATCAAAAAGAATCAGGGCAAGGTACCAAACAATATTCTACAACGCTCAATCCTACAGAAGGCGGTCCAAATAATTTCCAAATACAACATTCATATGAACCTAACAAATATTTAATATTCGAATGATACGATTAATCTCCTAAGTTAATTCACTCTTAACAATTCACAAAAATCCAATTATCACTGCAAGCTCACATAATTTCAAAATAATACACCGTCAATACCAAGTAATCATTCACTTCGACCAATGTCCAGCGAACATAATAACATTAATCTCTACAAATCAGACTAAACCGTCACTATGGTTTCACTCGTTAGACGAACTGTCAAAAAGAAACAAAGGCGAAGACGTCGAAGACCCGTAATAATGCTGAAACGTTTATGCGTGCGATGGTCGAAGGCTCGTTGAAATTCGTTAAAATGAAAATCGGCGGCCGTGGGGAGACGTTCCTCGCGATCATCCCCGTCGGTTCTCACGGGCCGTAATATCAAATGATAATAGAGAGCCCGTGGAGGTCGGGCTCGCAGCGAGAAAGGTGAGGAAAATGCTGCCGTCGTTTGTTTGCACGTTTGTTCGGCACTTAGCCGACGCTCTCGCAGCCGCCCCAAATCCCCGCAAATTGAAATATCTCTCCGAGTCTTACGGTCTTGGTTAACAACAAACCCCGGGGACGGATCTCACTTCACTCGTTGTAATCCAGGGACGGGGGCGAAGCCTCTCGTGCTCCTTACGCGGGTCCAGCACGTTCCTCTTGCTACCGGCAAAGCTCCGACCGGTGTGTCTGCGGATTCAAAACTCCTTTTATCGTCGGACCGCCTCCGTCGAGCACCGCGACCGTCCAAACATCGTTGACCGAAATGATCCCACGGGAGGCGGTTAACGCTGGAACTACCGACCAATCGAATTGACTTCCATCAATTTTATTATGGAAACCTCGAGAGTTCATCGACTGAGACGTCAATTTGATCTACGATTCAGTTTGCGTATTAGCAAATTAGTTTCTTTGGTAAATTCTTCGAAGCGTCTGTTGTTTAACAATTGGAAAGAAGGAATTCAAGAATTGATCTATCTGATAGACATGGTGTCGATCTTTGGTGACTTTCCGATTTTACTTCATGATCGAGAATATGTCAGAGGATTGACATATTTTAGAGATTGTAATCGAGGTTCGTTTCTTATTGTAAATTGATGAACAGTTTCAGTGATATGGAATTGATATATTGAATTCCATGGGAAAACTTGGTTAGTTCAATGTTTAGTATCGAATTTAAATACTTTGGTATGACGGAAGATTTTTCGGTCGGTTTCGATGGAACTAGGTCCCGTCGCCGGCCAGTACTAAATAAATTCCAAATGCAGCGATAGAGGAAATCGAGCGATCTCGATACGGAACCGTAGCCGCGTATCAGTGCGACCTTATGTCGGTTAGGTACCTCTGTAAATAGGCAGCCTAAAAGATAGTTAGCGCGGCATCATCAGACGCGGCGATAGCGGTGCCCTTTGAAAAACTAGGCAATCGATCACACGGTTGTCAATGCGAGTAAGGGAAGTTAGCGATTTGCTGCCGGCGGCGGAGTCAGGGCGGAAAATGCCCTCACCTGTCACTATCATGACAAACACGTTCCTCTGGGGTGACGGGATGCACCGCCGCCATAACGGGAATAACTTCAGTGCATTAGTTCAAAGACTTTCCGTTGAACCTCTCATAAAACCGAATTCAATTCTACACAATATTTCAATTGTAATTTATAATTCTCCATACTGTTACTGATAAATTATACGTTTCAACGTTAAATTGTACGAACATGGACAATTAATGTAAATACATATTATGAAACTGCATAAAACATAAGTAATATGACTATCTTATTATATACTAATTATTAATTAAATTTATAATAAAATTAAATTTTGAATAACAACATTGTTCGTACCACTCTACAAAACGTTCCGTTTTTCAGTAACATTTTAGTTCCACTATCCATCGATTTATGTTTCTACAATAATTTCGAGGCGAAAGAAACGATATTATTTGGGATGAGACTATCTCAGTCGGGCCAATGTTTTTCGTAGGATAAGGCGTCGGTGTCTTCGTTGAGAATGTGATATCTTAACACGTTTCAGGTGTTCGGACACCTACAGAAGTGAAACACGAATTGGGAGCCGGCGGAGGGGTGGTTTCACCGGTCGGTGTGGTTGGTGTAAACGATGTGGACGATAAGGACGGGAAGAAGAACAAACGCCAAAGGCGGCAGAGGACGCATTTCACGACGGACCAGCTACGAGAGCTCGAACGGTTCTTCGCTTCGAATCGGTACCCCGACATGCCGAGCAGGGAAGAGATGGGTCAGTATCTGCGCCTCGCGGAGTCACGTGTCAGAGTAAGTAACATTCTTCAGAAATTATTCTAATATAGATACATCCTGCAATGCGAAGCTGCTTTACCTTATAATTAAATAGCAGTCATCGAAATTAATTCGATCTGTACATCAGAACGATGTAAACCTTTAACGCTTTGCGGACGAAGGTTTCTAGAAATGTATAAAACCTTCAATAGACGAAGCTAGATTATCCATCAATCGCTTAATCAATAGAAAAGGAAATTACGAGCTAACTGCCCAGTAATTAAATCACTTATCTGCGACTTAGTCTTCAAAATATGAACATTTTATCTCGCCGAAATGTCGACATTCCTCTGCAAAGGGTTACTATTACTTGGATCAAAGAATACTAATTGTCGATGATATGTAAACATTAAGTATATTTCCCTTACTTTTCATGGAGGTAAATTCAAATTAATTCAACGACGCAGTAATTAAAGACTCAAGAACTAATCAATTCCAAACCAACCACAACGAAACTAATGGGTTCACGTATTTAACAATAATTAAAGATCCAACATTCAGAAACGTATTGCAATCGAGCCGACTGATAGTAAATTGTGATTCGCCAAGATTATCACAATCATTCGATCTATTGATAATAGAATATTTTAATATTGATAATAGCGAACGTCGAAGGTAATCGTCAACAGAACTAATCTTACTCATTGCATCACGAATTATTATACAAATCCAACGATGTTTTCCATCAACAATTCGCGCCGACCAAAGATTCACGGCGCGACACGAATCCGAGCTAATGACTCACGCCTACCCGTGACTAATTGGTTTCGATTAAACCGCGCGAAATGAATCGATCCGCCGCGCCACTCGCTCGGAGTCACTCTTTTTTTATATTTCCGTCGAAAAGCATCGCTATCGGTTCCCTACCGCGTTATCGGCCAATCGGGCCTCTATCGATCATGTTTTTTCTCTTTTTTTTTCATTCTGAACAAACAATTCCGCGCCAACGGAAAAACGGTACCATCTATTTTTAATCGTCACCGTCTGCCGAGCGTCCCGTTGCAAATGACTTGCCGAATATGTGCCCGTAGCACGTTCCGTCCAGGGCTCGAATCCGAGCAACTTCGATCCCGGTTTGATCGAAGTAGCAGGCCACAATGGGCGCATTGATGCCGCGAAGTATCGATTACAAAGCCAACAATTCATACTCCCTGCGCGGCGATAGCTCGAGAGGTGCCTTGTCTGCGGGCATGACTAGCAGCAGGAAAATGACACTTATGCTTTAACCCTTAACCCTCCCGCTGTAGATGATGAGTTCACACATCATTCAAGTTTATTTCGTTTCTGAGCAGTTCCTCGTTTTGTTCTCGTGTTTATGCAACAAATCAGTTTTGCATTCCATCGCATCAATTTTGTAGTTACTTTATTAGTTTATCTTTTTACTATGTCTAACTTCCTGAAATCCATTTTAATTGGACGTTTGCTAAAACTTAGCCTTCGGTTCTAATTAGAAGCTCAATCTGTAAGTATTAGGTGTACATTGTGTCCAATTTGTTGATTGGTTGTAGCTATTTTATGATATTCGCAACGTTTGCATTCGATTCATTCCGAACTACATTCCTAATATTATTCCACGATTGAAATTCAAGTTCGCGTCTGAAACGTACAAAATGGAGCTGTCGCTGCCAACTACCGGTAATGCAGGAACCTAATACGTTCCAAGTTCAAGATAAATATTCCAGATAAATCAGTTGCATCCACTCGATGCACTGAAACTGGTATGCAACACACGCCTATCCAATCGCAATAATACAAACTCCAACGCATCGATCAATTACACTTCCTCTGTACAAACACCTTACAAAACTAGATTACATCCAAAATTTTCTCTACTCGAATGACCCATGTTCCTAAATCAATTATCCCTATAACGAAAACCTAGGCTACGATCTCCAAAGATTTAATCGAAGCATCAGAAACGAGTGAAAAATAAATTCTTCCTCCGAAAACGGAAGCTGAGGCACCATATCCACAGGGTGTCCCGCAATTTAAGCCTGGCCATCAGGAGCCAGGACAACGAGGTCTTCGAGCTGACAAGGCTCGCGGTTTCGCGCGTTTCAGCTAGACACCTGGAAACGATCATATCACGGTGGAGAGCTCGGTCGAAAACGTTTTCGGGACCGGGGACGGAAGAGACACGGGGAATACGATGGTGGGCAGGCACGGGGTCACGTGGGGTTGCGCAGCTCGCGAGGGAAGCTTTGCGCCGGTAAGCCCTCCTGGATTTATAGAACCACACAGAGCATGGCACGGTGTTCCCGCCACGGTGCTATACGCCATGTACCAAAATGCTGCGGATCCCGACTATCGCGGAAACCGCACGGATGCGTCCGCGAATCGTAACGTTCCCACAGCGCGCGGCATTCCTCGTCCTTTTTCCTCGATTTTCCTACGGTTACCACGGACGGTCCTGGAGGCTCCGCTAATTTACAGGCTCGACACAAACAATTTCGTTTTGCTCGAATTTGCTGGGAATTTCTGGAGTCGCACTGGGTTCAGTTGAGCAATGATCCTTGCCAGCGTGGGTTTAGGGCTATGAAAATTAAGTGTTAACCCTTAGCACTTCAAGTTGTCTTGTGATCTATCAGCAACTGCAATTATCATAGTATCTCTATTGAAAATGAAAAATCCTATAACATTTCTTCGATCTTTTATTTTCCTTCTCAGTACAAAATTTGGATGTGTGGAAAATCTAATAATTTGAGCGTAGTTTCTTTGAGGTTCACTAAAATATTTAATATTATAACTGATGCGATATTGGAACCTACAGAGTTCAAAGGGTTAATCTGTTAATTTATTGATTGAGTTGTATAGGAATATATAAGTGAAATATCAAAGATAGTTTTCCAGGTTCGTGAATATTCTTACTGTTAGAAGATAAGGTAGTAATGAATGTTTCGAATCGTGTGATGAGGAAACTGTAAGAGTTACAAAAGTTACAAGTTATATGACCCAGTTTTATTATCGGCTTTGCTGAATTATTTTTGTTATCCATGTGACTAAAATAAAGACTAGACTTCTATTAGGATGGATAGCGAGATCGGTAGGTGTCGATTACATTCCTAAATTATCTCTTTATCAGATAATAATTAGACTTCTAGCGATTTTCTTTAATAAGTCCGCATTGATCGTGGGCTATCGGGTGTCGTTTCATATCGCGGATGTCGGTGACGATGTTCCTGTCGCCAGAGCATCCGGCATGCACCATAATCGTGCCTGGGACACAAACCTCGATCGTTGTTCGATTCGTTGAGCCGTACGGTGATTCTTCACTCGAAATTTCTGCGTTACACGAACTTCGAGATACTATAATTTACGGGGCGCGATCGGACCGCATTTACTCAGTTTCTAGTCATTCCGATACGCTTAATTAATCCCGACGCAACATTTAATGCCCGCCGATAAATGCGTCAAAGCTTATCTATTTTGTCCACGGATTTAACCGGAATTTCGGGTAAAACCTGAACGGCGATTCAACCAGTGCGCCGCAGTGGATCGTTCGAATCGGCGGGATTGATCTTTCTTTCGAACGCTGTGGTTGTGGGAGCCCGGCAATCTTTTACAACCGTTTGCACTACTTTTTCGAGCCTCCCAATACTCGGGCAATTACAAAAATTGCATTAACATTTATCGTGCTTTGTCACCAATCACGTCGAAAGAGATTCCTGCAGCATTTAGAATTGTATTCTAAAACTTAAAGACTTCATGATGTTGCAACAATTTCCAATGTGGTTTGAGATTCCATACCTTAGAATTACTCAGATCTTAATTCGATGGAAAACATCGATCACTAATACATTAAAAATTCTACATTGGCTCAAACACTGAGCCAAAAGTATCAGAAACTTAACTCCACTTCAATGATTCCAAACATTAGTACACCTACTTCAATAACCAAGAGTCTATCGACACCTTCGTCCATACGATTCAACGACTCTCTAAAACAAAAGAACCCCGCCACCGACCATCTGGTCAAAGGATTCGATTCCTGCCTTCATGGGTCTATCAATTCACAGTCCGACTGCCTGGGACCAGATAAAAGATCAAGATGCATCAAGGGAAAGAGGATGCTGCAGAAAATGGAGAAAAGAGGGTGGGCGTGTAGGATCCAGGAAAGAGAGGGATGGTTTAGAATGCAGAAAACGCGAGGAACAAACCTAGCCAAAGAGAAAGACCGAGAGCTAGAAAAAGGGAGGGAGAGAGAGAGAGAGGAGGAGGACACGCGGGAGAGAAGCTAGGTACAGTTATCTACAAAGAGGCAGGCGTATGTTTCGGTCGGTGGCAGCAGAGCGCGGCCGTCCGAGATAATCCGCCGGTGATTAAGACCATAAATCCATCGGCGGATTAGTATGGTTGCATCGCATACCGCGCGGTGGCGTCGCAGCACGGAACCCTCTCTGTGCTGCGTGCCGCTGTCCTCTCTCTCTAGTTGCTACTCGCAGAGAGCTCGCCTCTCTCTAGCATGGTCCTCTCCAAAACCTATCTCTCTCTAGCTCAACTCGCACACCCTATCTCTCTCTAGGTTATACTTCCAAACTGCATCTCCCTCTAGCTCCAACTGTACGAAACTCTATCTCCTTCTAGCTCCAGCTCTCGCATACCCTATCTCTCTCTGCCTTGAACCCTGGCATACCCTATCTCTCTGTAGCTCACGGCCACCGGGTGCATTCGCTGTGTTTCCCTCCAACCTGGTCGGCCTAGGACCATCTTTCTCTGTTCAGCCAGCAGGCCTAGCACTGTCGCGACGGACACACGTCGCTGATCCGTGTTGGTATATGCGCAGCGGAGGTGGGGTACATATATGTAACGCGAGGGTGGACAACGGCGATAGAGAAAGAGAGGGAGAGGGACGGAGGGATGGTTGGTGCAGAGAGCGAAGGGAGGTAGACCGAGCTTACACGCCATGGGAATGGGAAATGGGACGCCGCGGAATATAGGTGGACACTAACCGGTATGAGAGTGAGGATTACCGAGTG